CACTAGGACGGCCTGTCCCAGATTACCATTGCAGAGAGGGGCACCAAGGCAGCCCAGCAAGGCATCTGCTCATTTTCCTGGGACATTCTGTGAGCTAACTGTCCCTGACCCAGGTCACAGTTTAAAGCATGGTAGGAAAAAAAAAAAATGGGAACAAAGAAAAGCTTAAAGGTTTTGAAATAACACAAATGAGCAATGTTCTCCTGTTAATGCATTTGTTTATGGCAGAACATTGGAACGAAACAGCAGCACATGCTGAGTGAGGCCAGGGCTCTTGGCAGACCAGATTTAAAGAATGTGTCATTACTGCCCACACAGAGGCTGCTTGGACAATAGTCTGCCCAAGTCAGTCTGTCCTAGTTCTATTTGCTAATGGTTCCTAATCTCCCCTTCTGACCACTGTTACCCAAGGCCAGGGAGTTCCTAGGTTCCTCTTCCTGAGTGGTCACATAGGGCATTCAGAATGAGCAGTGAGTCCAGGGTTGAGTTCCCTGAGGAACACCTGCACTAGACAGGATGTTCTAGTGTGACAGGGATGGGAGGAATCTCTCCACCAATGAGAAGCTGAAAACTGTTGGATGGGGAAACAGAATGGGCACTATGGGTGGGGAATGCATCAGTCTGGGCCAGAGCAATGAGGTTAGGAGTAGGTGCAAATTCCTTGGGAATGCTGCAGGGAGATGGTCAGGGTAGTCAAAGGCACACCCACATGAAGATCAGGGTGGCAGACATGACCCTGACTGTGACCCGACCTCTTTCTGAAGTTGTACCAGCTTCTGCATCAGGAAGAGAAGGTTTATATGCAGTGGTCAGAAACAGGAGACTGCCTGGTTTCCCAGTACACACATCCTCTGGGAACATTCGGTGTCAGTTGGTGGACTGACTCAGGCAGAGAATGTAATATTTATGATTATTTATTATTTAACAGAGAGAGGTGACTGTGACGCTCACCCCTTGTCATGTTAGTGATAATTTAGAATTATCATGACACCTGCGTAAGTTGGTTGTCTTTCTAGAGTGCTTTAAACAGACACAGACTACAATGAGTTAACCACATCTACAGCCAGGAAAGGAGGAAGAGGATTCGCGTATCACTGATGTGCGTACTCTCATAGATTTATGGAGTGCACCCTCCTCTCCCTGGGTGCACTTCTGATTACAGCTGAGCTCACCTCCATCACATACATGCCGAATGATTCACAGATGGGCGTGAATACAGAGAAGATGTTTCTAGGACCTCTCTATGACTTACAGAGTTTCTGAGAAGCACAGTCATGTTTATGTTCACAAAACTGTTAGCTCCCACACGAGTATATAAAGAGCACAGGACCCAGATGCATTCTCAGAGGTCAAGGGTGCCTGCGTGACACCCATTGCTGTATGTGACAATAGCGATAACAGTGCTGGTGCCAGTGGTGATAGTGGTGATGGCACATGTCAGGCCTGATAGCAAGCAGTTTTTAAACAAGCACCATTTAAAAGGCTCAGTGGAGCATTGATTACACCAGAAACAGTACTAGATCTGAAAGCCACGTATGACAAAGTCCTCAGTGGATGAGGTACCGAAGGAGCAGAAATGGTAGCCTTCACCTTGCAGGGTCCCACTGTGTGAGAGTTTTGAAGAGGGAACTGACCCTGGGACCCTCAAAATGACCTGGAGGGAGACCTCACCAACCCCAAAACTTTCTTCTCCTCTCCTTCCACACCCATCCTGCTTCCACTGTTGCTGGACCCCGAAGCATCTAAGAGTAAAGGGACCCATAGCTGACTATATGGAAACTCCTCAACCATGGGCATCAGAGAAGAGGCCAAGAGACTAATTTATATGGCAGATCACATGATATGTCTGGCCTACTCCCTTGGGGATTCTCTGTCATTGATGATCACAAAGCTGTGGCCTCAACTTAGAGGGAAAAATTCAATCAGAGACTGAGTCTCACAGTAAGGCAAGGTCTACTCAGTCACCCACTAAAGTAACATGGGCAGCCTCCATGTAATAACAGGAGAAATGGGGGAGAGGCAGTTAAGGCAAAATCATCTCTCAGGGCCCACTCCTAGACACAGATGTGAGAATTGCAAAGGTAATAAACCTTCTGTCATCTCTGACACCTCCTAGTTCTCTGATCTTTGCCATGACTGAGTTGTCAGTGTTAGTTGACTTCTTGCTAGCCAGTCATTGCTGAACACCAAGAATGGTGCTAATGAATGATTCCCAGAAAACCCCATAGGTCTAGACATGTTTTGTCTTCAGAATGCACTGATTGGGATGCATATGTCCCAGTAATTAATGTGTCATGCTGGCCCACAGAAACCATCTTATCTACATTCTGCCTCAGTGCCAGGAGCTTCTGAGGGGCCAGGAAATCCCAAGAACCATGAGGGCTTCTTCTACTCTGATGTAGTATTCTCTTCAAACCCTCTATGTTTAATAGTGACATTAGAATTCAATAGGCAGGTCAAGAGGTGGTGATGAATGAAGGGCCACTCCCATCCAGTGACTGTATGGAAGGCAACTCTGAGTGTGGGCAGCTAGTATGAGCCATGCACCGTGTCCTGCAGGACAACAATAGCATCAGTGTGACCAGGACTCATGAAGCCCCTTCCAAACACAGAAGAGCTGCACATCTGGTTGACAGGGTGCACTAGAATGTCAGTTGGGGGGCCAAGAGCCACTGGGGCAACTACTTCTCTGTTCAATAAAATCTTCAGGAAAGAGGGCACTGAGTAGGATGGAGATGTCCCTTCTCTGTGGATGGAAGGATAATGGTTATGGTGGAGGTGTTCACAATGTGGAAAAAGTCTGCATTTGGATAAAGTAGAGCTGTGAGGAGAAACTGTCTTCTATATGGAAGGAAAGCCCCACTCACAGACTGCTAAATGTATCACCCAGCAGTGATGGACCATGTGGCATATACATGTGACTCTGTGGTCAAAGCCTGACTGTCACAGGACCCTTCACTGTATGAACCTGGCATTTGGACTACTCAAATTCATAACACAGCATCTCCACATTGTGTCCCATGCCAATTGTGGTTTGGATGAGTGTGAGCATGTCTCCCAGGGTTCATGTGTTGAAGCTTGGCTTCAACATGTGGCAGTGTAGAGGTGCCATGCCTCCTTTAAGAGGAGATGACACCCAGTGGGAAGCCATTAGGTAGTCAGAGCCAGGATTTTGGAATCAATATAGTTAGTTCTTGCTGGAAGACAGCTGTTAAACAGTATGGCTGGCCTTGTTCAATTTTCTGAACTTTTTGTCTTTCAGTTTAATTCTCCCACAACACTGACATTTCAATGTTGTCTACACCGAAGCCTACAAAAAAGAAGCTCGTGTCATTGAACTGTGAGCTAAGTAAACTTTTTTTCTTTACAACTTACTCATCCTTGGGCATTTTTGTGATAGCAATGGAGCTCAGGACTGATATATGAACTTTCCCTAGTTTTCTTCATCCCTGAACTCGAATTGCATGCTCCCCAAATACTTAGCCAGCCGCAATAATCACAGTCCATATGCCAGAGCTTTCTTTCACAGAATAGATGGCACTGCTTGAACAATTGCTACCTTCAGACACCTTAAGGTTCATCCACTCTCCCTTCACCGGGGCCTCCAAGACCGTCCCCTCCCCGGAGCGCTATGGTGAAGCCCAAACGGTAAGAGGGTTTCCCATCAATCTCAGCTAGCCCATCTCCTGCTGTCAGATGATGACAAAGAATCCAACTGAAGTGGATGTGTGGGTGCAGAGAGTGATCCTCCTAAGAAGGGCAAGTCCAGAGGTGGGAGTGGGTGGACTGATGGCTTCCAGAGGCGCTCAGACCCCCAGCCCTGTCAAACTTGTTTTCATTTTATACAGCCTATTCATGAATTAAGAAAATCCCACACTGTGGTGGGTGGATAAGACACATTTAAGAACTCCTTTCTTGCTGTAGATTTGGTGTTCTGTGCTCAGGCTTCTCTAGACCTTGTCCCAAAACCCCAGAAGATAGCACCTCCTGGAGATTACAACATCCCCACCCTGACACCTTGCCTAGTCAGATTGGGATAGCCTACCCAATGAGACAGAGACACATGGATGGCTCCCCCTGGCCCTGTGGTGAAATTCTAGCAAGTTCTTACCAGCATGACCATACATGGTTTATCTGCTTCTCACTAAGCTAGGCTTATAGCCTCTCCATACAGGTAGTACCACAGCCATGGCTGATAGGGAACAGTTGTTCTGGTTACCTGTTAGTCTTAACATTATTCATTATTACCTGAACATAGATCCCATGATGCTATTCACCGGTGCCAGAGCAATTCTTTCTTTCAAAAAATCCTGTTCAAGTCACAGGGTGGTCTCCAGTCCTGGCTGTTAACTGATGTGCTCACTTAGCACCAACACCTCCAAAGCCTGCCGTTGGCTGGAGATCCCCCACTCTCCTGAACCTCGGGAAGGTCCATGAGTCACCCAGCAGGAGGTTTGAATGGTTGAATGGCATTGATATTAAAACTGGAGCTCATCATGTGAGCTCTTCATTCTAACGTTTGTGAAAACTACAAAAGGAGGTGAGGAGGCTGTCAGCATTCAGTAGGCAACAAAAATCTGGCATTCAATAATTGAGAGAACTAGTGTGCTGGAGATTTTATCAGGGCTTATCTCAGTCCATAGCAGTAGGCAGGTGTAGGGGGTCAGTCTGTCCAGGAAGGTGTTGGGATTCAGTCTGTCCAAGCAGTTGTAGTGGGTCAATATGTCCCAGGCAGGTGTGAAGGGTCAGTCTGTCCAACCAGGTATAGGAAGTCAGTCTATCCAGGTAGGTGTAGGGTATCAGACTGTCTCAGAAAGGTGTGAGGGGGACCAGTCTGTCCAGGCAGGTGTGAGGGATCAGTCTGTCCAAGCAGGTGTAGAGAGTCAGTCTGTCCCAGGCAGGTGTAGTGAGTCAGGGTCTGTTCTAGTATCCTGACACAGCCTGACATTCACTCACCTCCCTCTGGAATATTTTGAATTTAGAAATCTGTAGTTGACACATTTTTGCTGTCTAAGATGATAATGGGAGCCTTAGCCAGAAAACTTGCTGGTTTAAAATATTTATTGGTTAAAAAAAATTTTAAATTTTTATACAAAGATGATGAGAAAAATCTCATGCAAACTCTGGGCATACAATAAAAATAACTCAAATAGTAATATGATGATTTTGTACAAAATAATTCTTTTTTAAGAAGGACCTCTGACAGCCAGCATGGTTCCCTCCTCCTGGCCTGAACACATTTTCAGAGAAGCCAGTCATCACTCTTAGCCACCTGCAGATGATCACGATCCACAAGGGTGTCAAATGTCTGGTTGTCACTGTGATGAATAATGGAACCCATTTCTACTACTCAGGAAACAAGGGGCCTTGATCTAGGAACACCACGGGAGGCTTGCACAAAGGGGATGACTCACGGAAACCTCGGGGAAATTCTAGACAGTCCTTCTGAGGGGATGCAACACCTCAAGATGACTACGAACATTTCCTGCTTCTGCTTTGCCACAAACCTGCAGCGGGTTTATAATTTGTGTATATTACAAGTAATTTGCATAATTAAAACACTTAAGGACTCGACATCTCATGGCAATTAGAAATGCATCAAACTGGGAACAATGTACAAAAGAGGGAGCTTCAATATGAAACAGTAATTCTCTGAGACCAGCCAGTCCTGGCCACCTGGGCTGTGCAGAGCAGCTGGCCACCACCATCTCCTGTCCCCTCCTGTGCACACTCAGCTGCCCATTGTCATATTGCGCTGTGCACAGACTCATCTCATTTTCCGGAGCCGGAGTCTGTTTTCCTTGTCCCGTTTCTTTAGGATAAGTATGAACTGGTTGAAAAAGTGCTCCTGATCCTTTCGCTTCTGAACAAGCCGAAACCTCTGATCCCGGCCATGCTTCTCGGCAAACTCTTTAAATGTGGTCCTGAAAGGTAAAGACATTTCTGAGACATCTTCCCAGAGAAGGAGTGCTGTGTTCCCTCAGCAAGAGAAGCAAGCTCCCAGGAACAGGACTCCTGCAGGCCAACAGACTGAGAAGGGCTGGGTCCTGCAGGGCTGTGACATGATTTCTCTCACACATCTCTGGCCTCAGGGGCCATTTCTCTGCTGTCTCTGCTCTCACTTCACACATACTGGTACTATGTAGCAAAGCCTCCCCGCTGTTCTCCTAGTTGGTACCCACTCTTCCCTGGGAGCCTGTGGAATATTCCTTTACACTGTGTGAAGATGTGTCATGGTGATTGGGTTAGTAGAGAAGCTGACTGGCTAATAGCTGAACAGGTAGAGGTTAGGTGGGACTTATGGGAACAAAGAGATTGCAAAGAGGAGGATGCTCTCAAAATTTCAAGGATATGTGGAGAGAAGGAAATGAACTTTGCCACATGGCAAAGCACAGATAAAACATATGGGATAATTTAAAATGTAAGAGTTAGCTAATAATAAGCCTAAACTATTGGCTCAGCATTTACAATTAATAATAAGTCTCTGGATGGTTATTTGGGAGCGGCTTCTGGGGCAAAGAAAAACTCTTCCTACGGGAGCCCTGGTCTTCTTTGGGAAGCTATTGTCTGCTAAAGATCCAGAGAGTGGTAAAGCACTCTTTTGTGTCCCTTAGCACAGAATTTAGTTGGACCTTCCTGTGCTGGGGTACAGATACCGCTGTCTGCTTGGCTCTCCACTCTGTGCTGACACTGAATGTCTAACCACAGCCAGCAGGTAGGGAGTTAATGTTTTCTGTGCAGCAAAAGTTCTGTCTCCAGACCAGGGATCCTCTGAGGAAACCAGAGATGTCAGCACTACTGATCAGTGAAGACAAGCCTACCAACCATGGAAACTTAAGTGCTAGATCTTCGGAGTCACACCAGAACATGGAGAGGCTGTGGCCCCAAACTGCCCAGATCCAACATGGAGCTTCCTGGGGCGACAGCTGCAGAGTGGCCAAGAGCTCAGGATCTGACATTAGCCAACCAGCCCTCCTCCCAGTCATAGTTGTGCTGTGTCTGTCACCCATGGAGGATGGTTGGCTGTGATCACCCAATGTGCATAGAAAATCACTCTTTGTCCAGGAAGCTATCGTTTCTTGCTCAGTTATCTTTATAGAGAAGTTTACATTTTCCTCTACACATGTAAATTTTGTGTCAAATTATTGAGGCTCTTAGCCTTTGACGCACAAATCACCAGAGTATATGGGCATGGATGTTAAAAGGGTAGTCCTAGGGCTTGGTTCCTCCTTGTCCCCTCTCTTTCCTCATCCAGCTGCAGGGAACACTTGCTTAATAGGCTCTCTGAAAGGAAAGGGCCTTTCTCTGGTTTCCCTCTTCTTCACTTCCTTCCTTCCCTCTCTATTTCCTCATTCCTGCTTCTTCCTCTGTCATGTAACAGCTGTGACAGCATTACACTTTTGTTACAGCCTCTTCAAGGTTGACAGCCCTTGCTGCTGCCACCCAGACCACCTTTGGGGCATCTTTGCAGAGAAGCCTCATGGAAGAGGAGGAAAAACGACAGTGAGGTGTGCTTCAGCTATGCTGCGGGGTGGCTCCGGCTCTCTGCTGGCTCTGGGGAGTTCAGAAAGTCATCAGAATGCACCAGCATTCACTGTGAAAATCAAGGAGGAATGTCTACTAAGCTGCCCCAGAGCATGAGATTGACCCCTCACTGTTCTGTTCCACAAAGTTCTCAGAAGGGACTTGAGACAACCACCAGAGTCAGCTTTGACAGTAGGATCCAAGAGTACTAGAGGCCATAGCAGCTACTGTGGAAAACATTCAAATAATCCTGGGTCAAGACCACCCCAAGACTGAGCCACCCAAGTCTTAGGAGGACAAAGTGACAGTGAAGGGAAAAGGGACATCCTGGAGCAGATCTGGCTTCTTTAAAAGTTATAAACAGCTTTCTAATTATGAAAGCAATATATGCCAAGTGTGTATTAAAATATTTTAATATGTTCCACAGTAGCGAGAATTTTAATGTCTCTGTGTTTCCCACAAGTCACTATGTATTCCTTAAACACACAGTAACATTTACCTATGGTGCAGCTGAAGAGGAAATCTAATAATAAATGAGAGTTTAAGTCTATTTGATTTCTCTCACTCATATTCTGTGTGTGTGCCTGTATGATGTATTGGGGATGTATATGTCATGTGTGTGTATAGTCTAATGGTCTGTATGGTGTGTGTGTATGTGTGTGTGTGTGTGTGTGTGTGTGTGTAATGAGAAGTAGGTGACAAAATCTGTGATGTGTGTACATATTTGTTGTGGGCTGTGTGGGTATGTGATATGTGTGGTGGGGTGCATGCAATAGGTATATGTATGTTTGGTGGGTTGTGTGGGTGGTCTGTGTAATATGTAGGGTACATGATGAGTGTAACATGTGTATATATGTATGTTAATACATTGTGGGGTATGGTGTGTATGTGACATATGAGGTGTTATGTGTAATGTGTGTAATGAGGGTGTATGTGTAAGTTGTATGTGAGATCTTTCTCCACTAAACATATCCAATGTCACCTCTACCTTCATGACACATATGAGACTTCGGGCTTGTCTCTAGCATCTTACCAGTGAAGAGCAGGGAATATCAGCTAAAGCCTTCAACAGCAAAGCAAGGGTGACCATATCACCGTTTAATGCCCTATGCTACTCAGGGAGTAAAGGCCACACAGCAAGACTTCATGCTATCCCCTCTGTCACTTTTTGAGGTCAGTGTAGTTACCTCCATTCAGATGAGATCATGAAAACACACAAATACCCACCACCTTATCCCTGGGCCAGGTCAGGTCAGGTCAGAACTTAAACAAGGTTCTAGGACGAGCTTCCAAACCCCTCTTTCTGTGTCTGCCTCCCTCTCATGACATTTGATTTTTCCTTGGCATCCTCTGAGATCCAAGCTGTCCTGAACTTTTTCTCATTCAGAAAGTCCTCTGGGTAGGCAGGATGATTTTGGGAGCAACGTGCAGCCAGTATTAACTATGCACTCAATTATAGACCAGACACATTACAGATCATACTATGGAAGCCCATGTCTTCACAGAAAGGAACAAGTAATGTGCACTCCAAATATAATATTGCTAGTTTCCATTTAAATAAAAATGTATAGGCTGGAGAGATGTTTCCACAGTTAGGAGTGCTTACTAACCAAGTGTAAGGACTAGAGTTTGGGTCCCATGTTGTAAGTCAGGCGTGGCCCTGCTCACTCCTATAACCCCATCACTGAGAAGGCAGAGATGGGAGGAACATTAGATCATGGAGTCAGGGCTGATGACCCTTTGAAGTTTGTAGCAGAAATGCAGTGACAATGGAGTATTTCCTCAAGCAAATCACACTGTCTGCCAGACTGAGAAGCACACAATTCCCAAGGCCTTTCCAGGGAATGTTTCAACATCTTTGAAATGTTCGATATAATGAAATAAGCTCTGCAATAATGACACATTTCTGGCCCCAGAAAACACTTTATGCATCTCTTTCTCCATACCTGGGTGATACTTTAGATTCTTCTAGAAGTTTCTTGAATTCTTCTTTGGCTAACAGCAGTTTACTTTTCCTTTCCTTGTATTCTTCTTTTATTCTTGTCTTGACAAACTGTTCGAATATCTTAAAACACGTGTATGGAAGAAAATCATCATAAACTTGAATTTAAGAAATTAAATCCTGCATCCCAAAGCCAGCACAAAAGCCCAGCACCTGAGGAAAGTGGCTCTTTGTCCCAGCTACAGGATCTGTAAGTAAAGCTTAAGTAGTATTATACTGTCCACAGGACTGAGGCCTCTAAGGAACAAAGCCCCAGTTCCCATGGGGTCCAGTGAGCTCCCTCCACACAGGCAGCACTTCTGGGCCAACTACCAATCAGCAGAGCTCAGGAGTCCTGGAGCAGATTTGGAAAGCTCTGTTGTGCACCAGAAGCTAGGAGCCTTTCCATCTGCACCTCCCTCCTTGTTTTGTACTCCAAGTGATGTTTGCAGTACATATATGTAACCTACTAGCACTCACATCATTGTCAAACTGTCCATAAGATGCTTAATCTACTAAGGCCACCTCCTGTGGGTCTGTAATTGGCCATAGAATCTCTGAATATGACACAAACTTGTATACATAAAGAACTCTGGTGTCTCTGAGTCCCACACTTTAGTTTCCAGGAAACCTTACTTCTACATGTGGGACTCTAAGGCCTGAAGAAGGCTCAGGGTGTACCGGGATCCTCTTTCAGGATGTTGAGAGATATCTAGACTGTACCAACCATCAGGATAGAAATTACCAAGGAGGGAACATGACCAAAAGTGTGTTTTGAATAGAAAGCCCTATTCCCAGTCTAGGACATGAGAGTACTGTCTAATGGGCAAACCCATTTAGCATTCCAGACCAGTGCTATAATAAAGTATTACACTGCTTTCTCTTGGAAATCAGGTGCTTCATAAGACTATGAAACTTCTCTCTGATACTTCCCATAGACTGTCCTTTCATTGTTGTTGCTTGTCTGTTTCCCTTGTTTGAGACAGGATCTTGTGTACTCTCGGCTGGCTTTGAACTTGCTATCAGCTTCTGATCCTGTTGTCTCTACCTCCTGAATACTAGGATTACAGGTGTATGCCACTGCATCTGGCTGATACAATGCTGGGGATGCAACTCAGGACTTCATGCATGCTAGGCAAGCATTCCATCAACTGAGTTACAGGCACAGTCTGCTCCTTTTTGTCAGAGAGAGACTATGCATTGCTTTACCATTAGAAAAACTGTCACTTGCAGACCATAAAGTCAAGGAACGGGAAGGACAAAGCTGTTCTAATTATAATGCTACTCAAGAATCCAGAACACTAAGAAATAAACTGAAGATCATTTAAATATTTATGTAAACACAAATAAAAATACCAATAAAAACCCACATGTAATTTTACCAGTACAGTCCATATCAATCCATGTAAACCTAAGGTATTGACTAGTCCCCAGCCTCCCTGCCAGGTAGTGGAGGGGAAAGGGAAATGATGGCACTCTTAAGCCCATCACTGTCTCTATTCTGATACTATCTTACTGCTTCTTAGCTTTCTGTTTTATTTTTAATATTTTAAGAGGGGGAAACAGGGTCTTACTGTTGTCCAGCATGGCCTGGAACTCTTGATGCCTCTACCTTAGCTTCTTGATTCTGCAATCATGCCCCTGTCTCAGACCTCTTCTCTAGTAGTGAACTTTTACAGTGTGTCATACAGGAAATACTACTTGCCTTCCGAAGACTCAGCGGCGCTGGAGTGAAATACTTGCGAGTGCAACTTAAATTGTGAACGTGTGCATACACATTTAAGTAAGATTGCGATTGGCTTATTTTACCTTCAAGGCAAATAGTGAAGTGTGCTCTCCAGCAGTCCTCTAATTTAAACAGATAGAAGAAGCAAATGAGGGACCGTTATCCAAACAAGAGCGTGTAGCTCCATCATCAGCCAAGTTTTGCTTTATTCATTTTAATGCGGCAGAAAGGCTGGCTGGCTGTGGGGTCAGAGAATATGAGAAATGCCCATATACCTCCCTGCCTAGAACCATTTATTCACCTAATCAAATTATTCCCCTTTCCCTCTCCTTTTCCTCTGCTGCTTTATTTAAGCTGCCATAACTCAACAGAGCAGGTATATTTCCCCTCTAACAAATTACACCAGTTTTACCCAAATTGGAGCACGACTTTTTAAAAGAGAGCACTGGCCGTTATCTCGTTTTCTGTAGGCCCTGGTGTAATAAAATGAAACACTTCTCGTTACCATGGAAACCCAACTGATTAGCGCTCCCTTGGCCTGGTTGTCTGTTTAGGCTCACTCCATCTCCTTTGCAGCCCTGGTAACTTCACACCATGAGCATTAGCTTTCCCCTGTGAAAACACTGCCATGGGAGGGCTATGTGTATTCTATGTGATGTTTGTTCTCCAATCTGTTTGTAATCTGGACTGTACATTCTGAGAGAGGCCCAGACAATGCTCCTTCTCTATATGCAGTGTGCCACTGACCATACAACTTCATCAGGGACATGAGCATTGGACCAGGGTGTTCTCTGGGGAGTCTCATACATGAAGACCATGAGGCTGGCTTCCTTCCTATTGTAGCACATTAAAACAGCACTGACGTCTCCCTTGGCAATTTCGCAGACACTTAAGAAATCTTTGGATAAACAATGGATTCTTGGTACAAGATGATTCAAGATGCAGAAGACATGCCTAAGCAAGGGTTGACTCCCCAAGCAGGGACAAATGAGACAGTCCTTCCAGGTTGGCATCTGCGCCTCTCTCACCAGGGCCATGAAAGCCCAGAATCTCTGGCTTCCTGGGCTGGTTTGATACAGAAGGTTCTGATCTTAGACACAGGAAGTGGATGATGGTATTGATGTTCTTTCCATGAACCAACTCCTTCTTGCCTGGGTTCCTGCTCTCCTAGACCATCCTTAGGATGTCACCTAAGCATCAAACTAAAGTTACTGGAGGGCCTTAAAACTAAACAGGGCTTTTCTTATAGTTTCTTCTAAAATGATGCTAGCCACTAAAAAGTACCAATGATTGGCCACACACCAAAAAGAAAGCAAAGCCTCCCTCTGCCCCAAACAAAAAGGACTATTTGTAAAAGCACAGCCTATGTGTTTATAGGTTGCCTTGACACAGTAGCTGTTTGCCTTAGCTCTTCACATACAAGGTGAGCCTGCCTCGGAAGTTCACAGCTTCTTATAGTGTAGATGAGCTTTCTTTCCTACAAAGAGCAATTGAACTTTTTGCTTTTTAATAATGCAACAAAATGGTGAAATAGTATCAATTATTAAAATCTACAGTTTTCTTTAGCTATAGAAGAAAACACATGTAGCCAAAATTCCGCTCACTGGATTGTGGACTTAGTGTCCTCACATACTTTAAAGTTTTTCTGGAAAAAACAAAACTCTGCGAGAAGAATCCATCCCATATTTATAAGAGGTCAAAAGTGGAGATTCTAGGTGGCCAGCTCAGGGCCCTCCTGTGCTTCCCAGCACCTCCCAGCCTGTTAGAGGAAGAGTTTTCAGTTGTAGGGTAGGAGAGACATAGAGTCCCAGGCTGGCTGAGACCACCTGGGGGTGTCATTTGCATCACCTCCATGTCTGCTTATAGCCAGTGACAGACTTGATATAAATTTTCACTCTCTATGACTTGTCCTGGTCTTGATAGGAATCTTCTAACTCACACATCATTGGGTCCCTGGAAATCCTTAGCAATGACTCCTCCTCTCTGCTAACTGTGGAGCTCCTCCTTTTTCTGCAGTTGCTTTGAGCATGAGAATACACCAGGTAGGGGGACTCAGGAGGAGTCTAGCTGTATCTGTGACTTATAGCTCTTATTTCCATTCTTCCCCACAGCCTCAGCTAAGGTGCATTACCCCCAGCCCCTCCTTGGCTACAGCATATCTTCCTGCCTCCCGTCATCCCTCTGTCTATATAATCTGGAAAGGCAGAGTTGGCTCTGTGAATTTCTTCCCAAACAAGCTTGAGCAGACTTCTGAAGTCATTCTTCTGAACAGCCTGGTAGTGCCACTCCAGGCCAGCCCTGACCCTTTCTGGAACCTGTTCTCTAGAAAAATATCTTTTACTTTCATTTACTCTGTTTCCTGGCCTCTCCTGATTTCCCTATCACAGTGGTACACATGTGGTGGTGCTGTCAACACACTTCGTGCGGTCATTGGGAATGGGGTTAATGCTCCAAGCTTTGCATTAAGCTTTGTGCTTTCATCTTAGACTCTGAGTTATTTCCTGCAGGAGTCACAACCAGACATAGTACAGAATAGTTCCGGGCACTTGCCTCCTCTGTCCCTCCAATGTCACTCCCAAGCTCCCAGACTGGTAAGGGACCTAGTAGCCTTTCAGCCTTGTTTCTAGTTCCTATCTCACCTTACCCCAGAATTACCTGTTTTCGTTCTTCAGAGTTTAGCAGGAGATATCGCGGGTCAAACACAATTTTATGCAATTCTTTCTCCCAAGTAGAAAATGCTGACACCTGGAGAAAGATATTCAATAGATCTGCTGTTAGCATCCAATGCTGAGCCTCGAGTGTGCTGAAATGATCAATGGGGGAAAAAAAGCAGCATTAAAGCACAATGGATTCAGAGAGGGTGCATTGTATAAGAGTGTGGGATACATCAAGCACACCACGAAAATCAATATGAAAAACATTAGAAAATTTAATTTCTAGATGTATGACACAACTACTTCTAGTGTCTTCCAAGACCCTGCCCTGATCCATAAGGTTGGTTTCCTGTACGATGAGCAGGGGGCATTTCAATGTCATATCTTGAATGATGTGAGGAGGTTCCAGGAAGTTCTCAGAACAACTACAGGCCCTGGCACTATAGGAAGGCCTGCAAACAGGCTGGTCTTAGTGGATGCTCATCTGATCTTTTAAAAATTAACACTTAGCAGTTCTCTCTTCTTTAGGTAGGTTAATTTTTTTTTAAACAGTAGTTTTCATATTTACAGAAAATGTGGAAGAATATTACAGGCAGTTCCTCTACCTCCCTCCAGGTGTCATATGATTAAAATCTTATATCAATGGGCTAGGTGTGGCACCATAAAAATTAGACCACCATTTGGAACAAAAGCCCCCAGATCACCTGGACTTCTTCAGTGGCCTTGATTTTTTTTCTGTTCTAAAATTTTATGCTATAATGAGTCTCATGTCTGCTAAGGTCCCTCTACACTGGGTCATTTTCCCAGACTCTCCTGGTTTCTGATGCCCTTGGTCCCCAGCAGATGTGCTGCTCTGCTCTTTTCCAGAACTCCTTCAGTCTGAAGGATAACTGCAGAGCCAACACGCTACTTCAGCACATCCTACCCCGAGTCTACATGGTCCCTGTGACTCACTAGTGATGGGACCCAGGCTCCAGGCTGAGGTGTGTGCTCAGTGTCACCTGGACAGGAAGGTCACTTTTTGGCAGTTTGTGTACTACACTTTGGCAGGGGCAGTATGCAGCTCCCTTGTAGGAGGTCATACTCTGCCTTCTGTGGGTGACTTGTAACCCTTCTGATGGGATATCTCTCTATCTCTTTCTTTATAGCTGTGAGGACACATTGGTGGTGGCTCATCCCCCAGTCACTGCCCTGTGCTGCCTTACTTTTGTTGCAATTCAGCTGCTTCAACACCAGTTGTCTAGAGCTCTGTGGTTGTGCCCCAGTCTCTAGTCTCTGATATACTCATATCCCACCTTGAAGGTATTACTTCATTTGCTGGCTTCCCCCAGGGCTCCAGGCTCCCCTGTGCACTGTGTGTCTTACTGTTCCAATCAGCCAAATTCTCTAAAGCCCTGGTTTTCTTAATCAGAGAACAGAAATAGAAGCCAACACCTGGGCACCCATACATTGCCACTGAGAGGCTCTTGCCTCCAAACTCTCAGCTGATAAACAAGGGAATGTTTAAGTCATTTAAAAATAATTTGTTCATTTAAAAGCATTGACTTAATATTGACTCTGCCTTGGCCCCTCGCTGCATACTGAGGATGTAGAGAAAATAAATCAAGACCCTGGTATCAGAAAGGCCCTGATCTTGGGTAACACAGATGAAGGAACTAAGGGGCTCCCAAAGACCATTCTGAAACACAGATACTCATCCAGGCCTAGAGAAGGATCTAGGCCGATGCTCTATGATGGCCAGTACATGGTTGCAAAGGACAGCATTCATGAGCTATGGAGAAAGTGGGAATTCAAGAGGCTGGACAGGGTTGGGGGTGAAAGAGCCTACTGGAGGCTGAGGACAAGTAGATGCACAGAGACTCATGCAGGGGCTTCCAAGATGGTTACAGCCTCAATGCTATCCTGGGGACAATGTGGTGAGAAAGATAAGGTCTAAACCACATTTTGAAAAGCCATAGTGATCTGGTACAGGGTAGTATCCTGGTTAGGAAAGGGACAAAAACTCACCAAAAGTTAACTAAACGAAATGCATTCATGTTGTTTCAATTTGAGTCTTGTGTTTTGAGTATGTGTTACCCAGTTCACAGAGTCATTTGGGGAGGCTATAGAAGCTTCCAGAGATAGTGGCTAACTGGAGAAAGTAGGTCACGGTGGGAGTCCTGTGAATGGCATACCCTGGTTCCTACTTTGTTTCCTGCTCCACAGTCGTTAGAATAAACACAGAATCCTGTCACCATGGACTGAATTGCTCTGTCATGGACTCCCTAACGGGATTTACTAAAGCTCTCTGAAACCACAAAACAAGGTAAACTGTTCTCCTATAACAACTTCAGTTACAGTGACACAAAAGTGACTGATCCACATCCTTGAACTATTCCTGGGTGAAGACCTGCTTCAACCAACACACATATATATGTACATCACACCAGAGAGGCTTTCTTAATGAACAGTTCTATCTATATCCCACAAAGGTCACTCAAGGCATGAGCATTTGGTATAATGTTGATGTCATGGGGAGTAGGGGCAGAGTGACTTGGGGAGTGACTCCCACAGGAGAATCTGGATCAGTGATAGAGCTGTGGTTGTGGTCAGACTTACCCGGCTTGGCCAGGTGGGCTCATGCTACTGTGATGACCACCTGTGAAGGTTCCTTCAGAGAGGGCTGAGGATGGCTATCAAGTAGGTCATATACCCAACTGTGACAGGGTGTCTAGCTTTTGGGAAATCTAGAGGTATGAGAAGGGAGTATAAAACCATATGTATAAAGCTTTTCATAGGAGCTTGCCATCCATGAGGAAGGCAAAAAAAAAAAATCTCACCTAGGCCATGCTGACAGGTCCTATGAATTCACAAGAAGAGTAGGAGCCAGTGGTTGAATACAGTAGGTGATAGAGAAACATGGAGGAGGACAGAGCCCACAGCTAAAAGGAAAGCTGGACAGCCCTATGTGACTCATTCCTCTACACCATCCAAGTAGACTCAGATCATCCTGCAAGACAGAGCTATCCCCAAGGAGTCCCGGCAAATGTCAATAAGGATGAATCCCATAATCATCTCTAAGAAAGACCCCAAACACTATGGGTCTATGTGCCACAGATACACCATCAGGGCAAATATTACACACACACACACACACACACACACACACACACACACACCATACTTGGAAACATGCACACATATGTTACTCTTCATACACTATAGGCATATGCACAGAAACACTCATATACATGTAACAGAGGCATATGAATCATCACAGATGAACATATGTGGACAGGCACACATGAATTTCATGCATCTACTAGCAAAGCAAATAGACATGTGTACACATGTGTATGGGTCCATACAGGAACACATCACAAACAAAACTAGCAACTCATATGCACAGGCATACAGAAACATGCACTCTCACGCACAGAAGTGTATGTATAACCTTCTCATCATGTCACTGTCCAAAACATAGGTCTACATTCAGAATGATTAGGAGAACGACTATCCCTCAGATGGGTAGCAAGACTGGTGTCTGTCTTTCTTTTTACAAGAAGTAAGGCAGGAGGGCTCTCTAGGAACCTCTGGGGCAGTTCTATTCCTCCATTCTACATTTAAAATAGCTTCATAAGATCAGCAAGTGGGAGTATAGCATGCCAAGATGGAGTGTCCAACACAGCAGGCTCTGTCTTGGTCCTCACCCCATAAGCAGGATACCTTTCAAAGCTTTAGTCCACTATGTTTTAAGCTCAGGACAGAAATCCCAGGATGAATTCCATCCTAGGGTGCCCCAGTCACACTGCAAGGAGGCACATGTGGATTGGTTCCTTTGAGCAGGTTGTGCTGATCTCAGGTTTGCATAACCCTGGCTACCTCTCTGTAATATACTCGTGCCATGGAATGTGTATCATAGGTTCTCTGTCTTCCCAGGCTCAGACAAGCTGGTAACCAGCGTTCAGACACTCACTTTGCAAGGATTAGCTTTCTCTTGCCTTAAAGCTCATAACCTCAGCCAGGAGGTCAAAGTGATAGCTATCTATCATCTCACTGTTGACTAGGATCTTGTGTTTAAGCTCGGGTCTCAGCTCCAGAGCTCAAGGTTGAGAGCATGGATCACCCTCCACACACCCCACCTATACCTAAGAGAGAGGCAGCACAGCTGTAGGGCCTCATGGGCATGCTGCTCACCCCATGGGACCAGAGACCCACACCACTGCTTGTTTGTCCTGACAGTGTCACCGACCTCACCCTCCTACCTTATGCTTCTTTGATTATCTAGCATTTTACTTAATTAGGTCTCAAATAGTTGAATTCTTCAATTACATTTAGGCTACCCCTGTGATGTTTCCCCTGTGTCTGTCTGTGACATGTGTCCTCAGTCATATCTGTAGCCCTTCTCTGCGATCCCTTCTGATATCCAGAGGACCTGAGCATGTCCATCCACTATCTAGATGACCTGCTGCTGCCCATGTCAGTGGGACAGTCTTAGTGCTTCTCACCCTCCTCATTCTTCACTTAATCTAATGTTCAGTGTCATCTGCTGGCATCAGGATCTGAGAATGAACCAAGGTGAGTGGTCCTTTCTCTACTTCCAGCATCCCTCCCTAGAGATGGTAGTTGAGTCCCCTGTGCTTTATCTCTGCTATCTGAGTCACCAGCTGTCTTACCACTTCCATACTGGAGGAAAATAGAGTTGTTTATCATTAATCCAGGCTCTGAGAGGGAGCCATAAGGCTAAAGGTGATTGGGAGGGAGTGTCCATTCCTGACAGATACCAGCATCATGCTAGAGCCTGCACTAATGAGTACTCTCCCTAGCAATGGCTGGTTAGTATGAGAGTCCTGAGGCGGCAGAGACTGTGTGGCACTGTGCCTGGAGGAGCTAGTACTGAATAGGACATGGGATTATAGAAATCCCCCATTCAGAACAGGTGGCCTGTTTGCAGGTCCAGGAACTTGTATTTTCATATTATTGAGGTCTCTGTTTGTTCAACCTGTAAAAACAGCCTAGCAGAAAAATCCAGGAATATTTCCCAGATGAAGGGGCAAAATAGAAATCTCAGGTTGCAGCTTCTGGTGATGGTCACCTGGTGTCTGGATGAAG